AATAACGAACGGATCCGATTCAAGCGTTTTTGCAATGCGTTAGAACTTTCTTTCGATTACCGATCAATGATGACCCAAGCTCTCCAAAGCACACTACAATAAACTGAAGTGCCCATTGGTCACTGTGACATTCACACGCAAGAGTGGCAGGACTGAAGGGGTGAATAAGGAAATACAAGTAATTTCGTGACAGCTTTGCCTATTTATTCTAAACTACTGCCGTTTAAAAATTTTTTTTTGAATCTACTTCACAGCAGCGAGCTCTTGAGTTTTTCGCTGCTCGCTTTCGTTTTATCTCTGAAAGGATTATCAGTTCAAAGATTCTTCTGACAGAAGCATTTGGCAAATTTTTTGACTTTTCAAGATGACCTGATGTGTGTTACATCTCGAACTTTTATCAGTCCTAGGCCAAGATGATAGATAGCTTACTGAGTGGAAATAAGACTACAAATTTTTGTGAACGAACAAAAGTTTGTAGTTTTATCCCAAAAAACTCAAATTCTGAATATTTTTCGAATAAACTGTCGTCTAAAATTCAGCTAAGATTTTCAACCGGTTAATTTCCAAGTAACTTAGTTTGGCATTAGAGCTAGATTTATCTGTTTGAATGTATTTGCATCCATGTGAACCACGTGACATCCAAAAAACTGCATCATTTATGGTATTATGTCAATTAAAGAATGATTTTTTGCAGATTTTTTGAATATCCCGCCGCCTTCTTCTCCGCCACCGGCAACAGCAACAACATCTACTGAAATGAGAGGCCCGCCACCGAAGCGTCATCCACCAATTCCTCCACTCCTGGAGGATGAAATGAGTGGCACGGCTCATGCAAGTGCTACCGATGATTCACAATACGAGGAACCAGGAATGCCATCTAGTCCCAAGCGTTTCTATGATGGTTGGTTATACTGATTGTTCGTACTATATGAAAATTATTGACTGAGCCAAAGTCATGCTTACGAAACTCATTATGCGTTTTTGCATATATGCAAATGCGAAAACGCATATTTCGACGACTCCAGTGTGTGTGTGTGTGTGTCTGTCCGGGTATTTCAACTCGGCACCAAGCAAACTCCGGCCAAAATTTTGCGACTGGGTTCTCCGACTAAGTGCCATCCCAGGACCGCAGTACCAATCCTCACGCACGTCTAGGCCCCGTGTATGTGCGTCTCAAAGTTGTGGCAGGAAAATCGCTAACTCGAGAACCAG